TTCCATACCCTTTCATAGATTTTTTTGTGAGGTGTGTCCTGGTTGCCAACTAGTCTTGCATATCTCGAGCTTGATGAGTAAGTGCCATTGGAGTTGAATTTCCACTTCCACGAATCTCTTTCTCCTTGTAGCAGCATTACGTTCTATAGGATGTTGTCAAGCTCCTTTTTTTTTCTTGTTCCCATGTGTAGAGTTCTCAGTTCCACTGAAGGTTCCACTTCCATAGTCCTTTCTACCAACATCCCATTTGGTTCAGCTTGTTATTTTTACCTGTAGAGATCAAAAATAATCTTGGAAATATGTTAGCCAACTCTCCAACATCCCTCCACTTGTCCCTCTAGAAGCTCACGCTACCTCCCTCACCTATTATGAAATCAAATCCTTTAGATATCCATCTACTTCTATTTTGATCAACTACATTTATTCTACACACATCTTGCCACCATCTCGATCCTTTCCCCCTGCCCTCTCTTACCCAATTTTCCTAATTTTCATCTCCAGCACCATAGTTTTCCTTGATGATCGATAACCATAGACTCTCTATTTTCTACCAATTTACCCCACCCTTTACCAAGTAAAGCTAGATTTAAACATCTAAGGTTTTTAATGCCTAACCCCCCCCCCCCAATCTTTTTTGCTTTAACAAACCTTCATCCAATTAACCCAATGAATCTTTTTCCTATCCCCATAGCCCCCCCGCAAAAACTCCTAATTTTATCAATTACTTTTAAAATACCTTTTGGGACAAGGTAGACGGACATAAGGAAAACTGGGAGAGATGAGCACAGATCGAAGCATCGTGATTCTCCCATCGAAGGACAACCATCTTCCTTGCTAAGTATTCAATTTTTTCCAAAAGACCTCTATCAATGGTTGCCACATTTCCCATTTTCTTTGATTTCCTCCAACCATCACCCCAAGATATTTAAATGGCAAGTCACCAATCTTACAATGCAGCAAACATGCCATTTTGTTTAACCAATCCTCCTCGACATGTATTCTTATTAACTGGCTTTTGAGAAAATTGATTTTGAGACATGAAACAATCTCAAATAGCCTCATGATACACTTCGCAGCCCATATGTTCTTCTCTATAGCTTTCCCAAACAAGTTGGTATCATCTGCAAATTGTATATGAAAGAAACTCATTCCATTCTACCCTACCTCAATACCTTCAAACAGCCCATTATCAACTGTTGACTTTATAATTTCGTTAAGGCCTTCAGCAACAACTAAGAACAAGAATGGTGACAATGGGTCACCCTGTTTTAAGCCTTTAGATACCCCAAATTGTTTGGAAGGGCTCCCATTAACCAGAACTGACAGCAAGCTTGCTTTCAGACATTTGGAGATCTATCCTCTCCACTTACTTCCAAACCCGAGTCTCCTCAGCATGTAGTCTAAGAAACTCTGACAAACCTTGCCATATGCTTTCTTGAAATCAACTTTCAGCACAAAACTGTCTCTCTTTTTCTTTTTGGCTTCATCAATGATCTCATTTGCCAAAACCACTCCTTCGGAGAGTTGTCTTCCTGCCAAGAATGCCATCTACTGTGCTGTGCGCCTATCACCTCGGGGAGCACCACTCTAATTCTATTGGCCAGGATCTTGGCAATGATTTTGTACATTGCCCCAATCAATGATATTGGCCTATATTCTTCAATTTTTTGAGGGTTATGGACCTTCGGAATTAAGGCAATAAAGGAGACATTTGCACCAGTAATCAATTTCCCATTCTTCTAGAACTCCTGAGTAAACCTGATCACATCCTCCTTAATCTCTTGCCAAAACTCCTTGAAGAATCTAAAGTTAAACCCATCTAGACCAGGAGATCTGTCACAACCGCACTCCAAAACCGTTATTATTATTTCTTCTTTGTTGAACGGCCTAATTAGTGCATCATTTTGTTCCTCAAAGATCTGCTTGAATGTCATGCCATCCAAAACTGGTCTTTGCCATTCATCCTCTTTAAATAGTTCTTCAAAATATTTAGCTATTCCATCTTTAATTTCCTGAACACCTTTTAGTTGCCTGTCGTTTATCTGCACATTGTTAATTTCCATTTTCTGGTGTTTACTCTGAGTGCTTTGGTGGAAGAATTTTGTGTCTGCATCACCCTCTTTCAACCACTCTTTCCTTGCCTTCTGTTTAAGCATTCCTTCTTTTATTTTCACATTTTCCCACAATTCCTGCATTTTACCCTTCATTTCCATAACTTCTTGCTCTGTGAGTGATCTTGATTATGCTTTTATATCTAGGTTTGCAATTGCCTCCTTGTTCTCTTGAATCTTCACATCACTATGAGACATTGCCTTCTTACTCCATTCTTTTATTTTAACCTTCATGATCTTCAATTTTTCTTTCAATTGGTACTGTTTCCAACCGGCCATTTCATTTTCTTTCCATGTGTTCACAACCAACTCTCTAAAACTCGTCTACTTTAGCCATACATTAAAGCATTTGAATGGTTTGGGACCCCAGTTTATCTTCTTGTTTTTCAAAAGAATTGGGCAGTGATCAGATAAGGATCTTTTATGGCCCCATTGCTTGACATCTGGCCATTTCATTATCCACTCCTCTAATAACAAAAAGCGATCAAGTCTGCTCATGCAGCAACCGTTAGAGTGGTACCAAGTAAATTTTCTCCCATTGAACGGAATATCAACTAGACCTGCTTCCTCAATAACTTCTTCAAACTGCCTCATTTGACTTGTTTGATTATTATTTCCTACCCTTTCAAATTGGTTCCTTGTAGCATTGAAATCCCCAAGCAAACACCAGTTTCCTCTATTTTCATTAATTAACAATTGCAACTCCTCCCATAATTGTCTTTTTCCAACTCCTTCACAAGGACCATACACATTCACAATGCACACAGGTGTTTCATCTACCCCCCAACAGCCAAAAATTCCTATAAAGTTTGAGCCGCTCACCAATTTACTCATTTTCAGCATTTCTTTATTCAAAATGCATATTAAACCCCCTGATTGCCCATTAGCTAGCTTTGCCACAAAATCAAAATCATCTGAGTTCCACAGTAGTCTACACAATTTTCTACACAATTGTCTATCTATCACCTCCATTTTTGATTCTTGGATTGCTAAAAAGTTCACTCTCTCCCTACTAACAAGCTCTCTAATTTCTCGTTTCTTCCCCTTCCCTCATAGTCTTTTTGTATTGTATGATAATAAATTCATGGGGATATATTATTGACCTTTTCTCCTCTGTGTCTCCTTGTTGTATTAGCTGCTTCCTAGCTTCTTTGTCCCTTTTCTCTAAATCTGAGATCCTCTTTACTACCTCTTCTTCATTGCCCTTTACTGTGATACCCACTACCTTCGCAAACTTGCACATCTCTTCCTCAATTGTGCTTCGGTTTCTCTAGTTGCCTCCCTTGTTGCAATTCAGGATGCAACTGTCCAAGATAGACACGCCTGCTATAGGATTCGTTGGGTCTAGAATAAATTTTGGTAGCTTCTCCTTCTGGTTCTTTTTCGAATTGACTTTACCTTCCTTCTTCGTAGATCTGCTTTTAATCCTTGCCATAGAAGAGCTTTGATATACAGACATGAAGGATCTAAATTTTCTCTTTCTATTGTTTCTTATTCTCCCTTTCCTTTTTTCTCCTGCTTGCATCCATTCTTTCAGTCTTCCGGAGTCACTATTTATGCCCTTCCAGAATGACTCCACCTCATCATCCTCCTCAACTTTCTCCTCTGTTAGATCTTCTTTGATTTTCTTCGATTGCATTTGCAAGGCTGACTCACTCCTTTGTGGGTTCCTTCTATTTTTTCTGTTTCTCTCTGAGGTTACCGGCGATGAGTGACGTAAGCTATCAAACCCTCTGCATCTGTTTTCTATTTTTTCTTCTTCACCGACTTGCAATTCTTCACCTCTAAACTTTCGAGAAGACTCCTGTTCTGTTTGGGCTTCATTTAAGCCCATTTGTTTCTCTTTTCTTGTAATACCCTTGCTTGTTTCTTGGGCTTGATCCATATTCACCGACCCACTTGGGACTTGGGCCTCTCTTTTACCTCTATTTTCTTTGAAATCTACCTTTTTATTCCTATTTTTTCCCCTTTGTTTGACACTTTTTCCCATGTTGTTATGGCTAGAGATCTCTGGCTGCTGATCACTATTTGCACTGGTGTTGTCATCACCAACTTTCAGCTTCTCTACACAATCTCCCATAGCTTCATTAAATTCTTCCTGAGCACCATGTTCCTTTCTTTTGTCTACTGATCTCCAGTCCCCATACATAGGATAGTTTGTTGACTTCTCTCCTTTGTGCTCATGCAATTTGAATGGAACTTTTTTTTTACCATTGTCTAGCCGACTGTTACAATCCACATCATCATCTTCTTCTTCACTGGGTTCAAATGGTCTTTGTTCTTCATGTTGGCAACTGTTATTGTTTGGGTTTGGGTAACTTTCCTTTGCCCAATCTGAGACCCAAGATTCATCCTTTGTATCTTCTATGGAGTATTTGGTTTTTTACTTGCAATCTGAATCAAAATATAGACAACCTGAGCTTGCTTCTTCATCTGAACACTAAATGCAGTACACATGACCATTAATCTTATAATTAAGATTTTCAGAAATGGATTTCTTTTCTGTTGTAGAGATCAAGACTCTAGCAGCATCAAATCTCGTCTTTAGTCTTGTGCTATCATCCAAAGAAATAAACGTCCCCCACGTGCTTGCAATAGAGGCAAAAATACTCTGAACCCCATACATGCAGAGGGACACCTACGCACTTGAGCCAGACAAATCTTTCAGTCGCCACCATAGTCAGACTCCATGGGTTGATTTCGGAGAACCATTGGTTTAACCATTCTTTTTGCATTTTCTACAATTTCTTTGAGTTCTTCCTTATCTTCACCGTCTAATAGCACAAGCTTTCCACCCATTGTCTTTGCTTTAATGGAGAACATTCCTTCCATGTATAGCCTTTCTTGGATTACTGGTGCTATCTCCAGTGTCTTAGAGTTCCCAAATAGCATCCTTTTAACCATTCCTAGTCTTCCCTTCTCGGGTTGTATTCCTTCTCCTTCCCTGTTAGCTCTTTCTTTTTTGCGACCCATTCTTTCTCTAGTCCCATAAGCCAATTTCCTTTTTCAAGTTGATGAACACCTTTGCTAGTGAGTACCTCCACATACGAATGAGTGCTCTTCACCCGTTGGTCTCTCATGAAGTAATGCTCTTTATCCTTGCTTCCACTTGCTTTTTTCCCCCTCACTGAGCTCCTTTTGGAATCATGGTGTGTTCACTTTCATTTTCTGGTTTTCAACCCGTATTTGGTCCAGCCTTTTTTCCAGTGTCTTTTCATCGTTTACATTCAAAAAATGGACAAACCCAAATCTTTTGCCTTATCTATTTCTTCTATTGGGGATGTATATTGCATATACCCTTCCGAATTTCAGGAACATTTTCCACATGTCTTCATATTTCCATTGATCTAGGAAGTTCGTGAAGTAGAAAATGGATGCCTGGTTGTATAAGACTCTATCCAAGCCTCCGTGGATCTGACTCATATCCTTGATCCTTCTGCTTTCTCTTTGATTCTGATCCTATTGTCTTTCCCTGCTCTGTACTATCCACCGTCTGCTACTCTGTCCTCTCTAATGATTGCCTCTTTGTGCTCTCCGCCAATCCCAGTTCTATTGTCTACTACTTCTCTCTTTCTCTCTACATTTCTCTCTCATGTTTTTTATATTATATTATAATCTAAATTGTAATAAATTACACAACATTAATTATTGAATGATTATGGATTCATTGATATTGAGTCCCTTTCTCTTGTCTAATAACTCTTATTTGCAATTCAATACAATCTAATTTATAAAATAATGGACTCATGTATTAAAGAAAAATTATTAGTGTAATTTTTATGTTCTCTCAAAATAATCTCCTAATCATAATCCTATATGACAAAAATTTTGATTAACGATGGCCAAACTTTTTATTTATATTCTAAATATTAGTATTTTTTGTGATCAATACTTTTTAAACTTTTTATTTTTATTCAACATCCTTCATAATTTGAAATTACTAAAAAAACTAAAATTAACAAACCTATCTCTTGTAAATTAAGTGCAAATAGGGACTTTGATTATTAATATTTTAGATTTTTTATGAGTTTCAAATTTTAAAAGATATTAATTGAGAGTGAAAATTTTGAAAAATATTAACGGTAAAAAAATAATATTTAAAATGTTGATAAAGGATTTGGACATTAACTTTTTACCCTCGGCAAAATGCATGAATCAATATATATTTTGATTCCTTTTTTCGTTTTCTCAGTATGGGATACATTTTAAAGTCTGTTTGGGAATGTCGTGATGCATGAATAGAAGTACGGGTGTTGGCGGTGTGATTTGGTTTGAATTTTAATATTTTTTAAATCAATTTAATTTAATCAGTTAATAAAATTTTTAAACCAATCCAATCCACTATTATATGATAACCAAATCAATCCAACTTAAATCGAATCAGTGTGGTTTGGTCGGATTGATCGGTTTTTAATATTATTAAATATAGAAGATACTGTAAAAATATTTTAACATCAAATAAAAAACATAATCATAAAACACATTAACATTCAAATCAATAAAACATAATAAAAAGTACAAATTAGAAACGAGTTCTTATACTCCTTTACATTTGTAAAATTGAAAAGATCTAAAAATTCTTCTTGGTTACATCACTAAAGGCACTAAGAACAATAAAACATGATTTCAAATTTCTAACACCGCGTAAATAATTCTTAAAGATTAAAATTAATTTTTTTTCTTAATGCACTAATAATTTAATCTCATCTTTTAAATCTTGTTAAAAGTAAATAAAATTTAACATAAATATCACTAAAATTGATAAGAAGCATTCATAATCAAAATTTAAAATTTCTAAACCAAATATCCAAGAATAGTAGAATATCAAGACTAATTTTATTATATAATTTTAAGACTTTTAGAATGATACTTAAAACTTAGTTAAGAGAATCATAAAATTATTTTAAGAATAAATTATAAATTTAGGATTCTAATAGTAAAAGCATAAATAAGTTCTGAAGAGATAGAATTGTAGGTGAATTAGAAATTTAGAATTAGGGTTAGAGTGTATGATTAAAATGAAAAAATAATTTAGGGAATATGAAGATGTTTTATTTTTATTTTTTAATTAAGTTAATGGAGTTATTATCTTGTAAAATAAGAATTTT